TCTTCATAATTATTGGAGGTCAGAGATGGTAAAAGTACACACATCCTTTACTCAGGTAGAAGTACAGATACTCGTGTTTAAAGATACTCAAGTCAAAGTAAAGAGGCTTTGAAATGTACTTCAGTAAAAAGTACCCATAACTAGCAGCTGTTTTAAAGAGTACCTGACCTCCCTTTATATTAATAGAACAATAATGTCATTGTTAGCTAATGAATGTTTCCATGCTGAACAACGGCAACATGACAACGTTTCCATTGGTCCCTCTTCTTTAGAGAAGACCAGGAAATGATGGATACACGGACTCCACTTCGAGCCATAGAATTATTAACAAAGCACTTATATACTAATAAAGGGCTGGCTTATCTAAAGCCAGTTGAGTAGCACTTGAAATGTTTGGCTCTATGAAACCTGATGTACTTTTATGATTCTGTTTTCTTCAAGTTTGTACTTGTTGGTCGAACACACTTATTGTAAGTCTCTTTGGATAAAAGCCTCAGCTAAATGTGATGTAATGTAATTCAAGTCAATAGGCACGCAGTGACTCTAAATAATTTAACTGAATTAGAACACCCATTTACTTTAGTGAACCATGACTAACATTGATCTCAACCTTTTCACGTTTTTTATTGTTGATGTTTCGTTTTAGTTTTTTGTGCTGTGATTTCAATCATCTGTTTGTCTATCATTTTAAATGTTTTTGTACGATTAATGATGTCTTATTCTGTAGGGGGGAGGGTTAAACGAAATGGACAACCTGCACACCTGTTTTGTTGTGTCTTTGACACTGTATGTGTTGTTTAAGAAAAAGGAAAATAAAGTAAAAAGAAAAAAGGAAGGTGAGAGATGAGGATCTGTCTGAGCTCTCAGAGCACTCACTGGTTCTGTCGTTGACCTCGAGCGCCTCGGGAACCTCTCCAGGTTCTCCGTTACCGGCAGTGTTGAAAGCGGTCACCCTGAACTTATATTTTCCGCCAGTCTTCAGGCCGGCGATCACCAGCCGGGTGCCGCGGATCTCCGTCTCTTTCGCCTGAAAACAGAAACAGGTCTCAGTTTCTACGATCAGCATCAGGGTCTCTAAAGTGTGAACGCTCTCAGGAAAGTGTCCCACCTTCACCCAGGCCTCGGTGCCCTCCTCCTTGGACTCCACCCAATAACCAATGATCTTGGAGCCTCCGTCCTTCAGGGGCGGAATCCAGTGCAGGTCCACAGAGGACTTGGTCCAATCAGAGATCTTGGGGGTGGGGGGAGAGGGCGGGGCTACAGGAGACAGACAGGTGTTAGCTTCCTGCTCGGTGTACAGAAACATGTGATTCCTCTAATCTCAGACACAGGATTTATATCTGAAGACTCGTTAAGGGTTTTCGTAACTTTTATTATGTTGTCTGGCAATTTAACTGTTTTTAATTAATTTCACATATAATTTAAATGTTGAAAAAATAATACATTCTGAGATCAATTTAACAATGATTGAAAATGTCTAAACTCTTAATTTATCCTGAAAAATGTTAACTTTACTTGTAAAAACAAACAAAAAACATGATTTATTCAAAAAATCTGAATATTCATTCAAATGTTAGGAATAATCTCAGACACACAGGATTTATATCTGAAGACAATAAATCGTTAAGGGATTATTGAAATTATAATTATATTGTCTGACAGTTTAACTGCTGGACAATTTTGTAACAGATTCACATACAATAAAAAAAAAAAGAATTCTGAGATGGATAAAATAACTGATTCAAAATGTCTGAACTCTGAATTTATCCATAAAATGACTTGTTTTTGCAAAAAATAAAAAAAATTGATTTTATTCTTTCTCTAATAACTGTGTTAATAATGCAGAGGCTCTTACAGATGGGGTCTCTGGCGAAGATGGGGTCTGTGAGGGCGCTGTAGGGCCCGGGCCCCGTGGCGTTGAGGGCGCAGACCCTGAACAGGTACTGCGAGCCCTCGATGAGCCCGCTCACGGTGAAGCTCTCGCCCATTCCCATTGGTCGGATCGGGTCCCGGGTCACTCGGGTCCAGCGCTTCCCGGTGGTCTCCTTCCTCTCCAGCCAGTATCCGGTGATGGGGGTCCCTCCATCTTCCTCAGGCTCCTCCCAGCTCACCGTCATGGCGTCCAGCGTCACGCCGCTCACCTTCGGCTTCTCCACCTGCCCGGGGGGCGCTGAGGGAAGAGGGGGGGGGACCTTTAATATCACTCATTATATTCAGTACATAACAACACCTCATACACTGAGGGAAGGGTGGGGCACCTTTAATATCACTCATTATATTCAGTACATAACAACACCTCATACACTGAGG